TCAGCTGGGTTCCAGGTGAGTCTCTCGCAAAACCAAATTAGTTTGCAAATGAGTGTATTTCGCCAATTTCGTTTCAAGTAGAACGTGAGGTTGACGAAAACCCAGGGACTGCGCCTACCTGCTGAGTCCCAAAAAGGGCGAAACCGGTCGTGGGCTGTCGACGGATTTTCAGCTACTAAATACACTAACTTCTTAGGACAGATAGCCACGGAAACACTGCCACTCGACGTCAGCCATCAGTCGGTGTTGGATTTCCTGGCCCCCGAAGAGGGACCACACAGCTCCTTTTCTCGTGATTTATTCCCTCATAGAGATCATCTTGGTCGCTTAAAGGATCCCTGATGAATGTGGGCTTAATCTGGTGGCTGAACTCATGTTTGTAGGTGACCACACCCTGGCACCCTTTTGATTGCTAGGCCAGGAGAGGTGAAGATAGTCAAGGATGACAAGACATCCATTGTGTATTTGTGTGCTTTGCACTTGTTCGTCAAAAAAGAACCGTACTTCGAATTTGGCACAACCTCTCGATAGTCAACTTTATTACTGGCAAGTGTTTGCCTCGACTCGCCGAATTATTCTTAACTTCCTAGTAAGGCAAAGCCCTTCTATTTGTAGCTGTCCGCATCGCCTCAGTATTTATTTACCTCCTTTAGAACAACAAGGTCGCGGTTGTCGGCACTGAGGACGGCGCGATCTGTCTGTTCAATTGGGATGAATTCGAACTGTGTGCCGATCGGTTCTCCCCGTTTGCACAGAAAACATCCAAGCCTGCGGCCGTGGGCAGTGTTGGCGTCGGTCCTAGTATATCACCATCCGTTGAAAAGGTTGTCAAAGTTACCGAGGATATGATTGCTGTCGCTACGGATGACGGAAAAATCAGGTACGAGTTCGCTTATTCCTTCCTCAACTTGGACTTTCGACATTTTAATGTGCTTCTGATCTTTGATGAAATAGTTCTAAGTTTAACGAAACTGTGAATTCTACGTAATACGCTAGCCTTGATTTGCTTCGGACTACCTTCTCTTTTTATGATGAGATGGCCCAAGTGGTTAGAGCGCGAATTTACTGACCGGAAGGTCCGTGGTTCGAACCCGATCTCTGCCTCTCGACTTCCTCTGTCTAGGCTTGGGCAACTTGGCAGTATCCCAGGCCTCGTGCTTCCTTCGGGTGGCATGGCAGCTAGGCACCGAAAGGGTGTTACACCTGAACGACTTTTATAATGGTACCCTTGGAGAGTTTATTTAATGGATAGTCTGATAGACATCGGGCCTGACAAACGTCGACGGAGGCATTGATTTAGGTCAACATCCACGCCGCCTGTCACTGCCAAGCGAACTCGCCGCAGCTGTGCATTCAAACGAAAGACAGCGGAACGATCCTTGGTTTCATAGTTGGGACATCATCGGCAACATAACGTCACTTTTCGGCACCGACGTTTCACTGCCGTCACACACATGACTTTCGCACACTCGGGGAAATAAATTCTCCGGCGCATGCCGGTCATCTGTCACTACAAAAACTAGATTGTTGAACAAGAAAGCGTACTAGTCAAAGGTTGACATGGCTAGATTAGGTCAACGTATCACATGGCTGATCTGTGATCCAAATGCTTTCACATCTGGAGTATTCTTTGGTATCCATGTTCTAGTTGTACAAAGCTGGTATGATTTTTCGTATTTGCCTGATTCTTCCGCAGTGCAGTGATGATTCGGCCCAATGAAGTCCTGGGCACAATTGGTCGGCATCCAGGCAGTGAGGGGGACCATGGTGCGGATTGTCTTAATCTTGCTGTGAGTCCGCACAAACACCTCGCTTCCGTGTGTCCGGAAAGTTCAATCGCCCAATTTTTCTCTCTTTCCGAATGGATCAATCGGTCCGAAAGCCTTCTCTCCAATCCGTCGGGACCTAAGAAAAAACGAAGAAAGGTTGCGTCGAATGCAATGTCTCCTGATCGGGCCGAGTATTTGTCTGGCTTGCTACCGGAGAAGTCGGAGAATGGTGGCAGTGAATCCGCGTCAGAACTGGAATCTACCGAAAACAGTGGGGATGATGGCGAAGATGACACAGATTCAGACTCCTGTTAGGAATGATGTCCGTGCGCCTGGTTTATACGTAGGAAAATGTATTTTCACTTGATCATCGTCTTTTGCTGTTGAACGCTGCCCATACATTGTCAGATGGATGAATATAGTTACCAACAGCCATTAGTTTTAACTTGCGAACTTGAAACGAACTGTGATAACTCACAAGTAAGCCAGATGAGACAGTTCCGACTATCGAGACGTTTTGTAGCAAGATGTTGCGACGTGAACTGATGCAGCAGACTGATATGTGAGTAGTGTGCAGAGATTTAGTTTTTTTGGTGTATATTTCATCCCGTAAGTGAAGCCAGTCTTTGCTGAAGAGCACCTCTCGTCCTTTCGATATAGGTTGGCTTCACTTACAGAAAGAAATGCACGCCAAAAAGACTGATGTGTAGCTAATTGTTTTGCAGATACCGTAGAGGGGAGTCTTCTTACAGGAGGAGAATATCCGCCAACCTGACTTCCAGAAGTAGCCGTATTCGTGAGACCATATCCAATAGAGAAGACGGGTGATTTCGGTCTTGTGTGATTTCGTAAGTAGAAACATTAATGATCTGCATAAAAAGACCATTTTACCGTCAAAGCTGCCACTTCGAGGCCCACCTGTTCCTATTCGTTTAGGTTTAAGTCAGTCGCTCTACTCAGGGTTTGTGTCTCCATTCGGCTGGGTATTCGAATCAAATGTACCCTAAGCCACTTGATGGTACTAGTGGTGAAAGGAAGAAGGCCTTTGCTGCGGAGTTATTCATTAGAAAATGCCAAATGACCAGTTACAGGCTATTGTACAGGGAGGCAAAACTCTCAGAAGCATCTTGTTCACAAAAACTGAACATCCATCTCCTCTTGAACGCGTCTTCCTGAACTTTCCTGGATATGCATTGACTGTTGCTCAAATCCGAGCAAATGCTACAAAGCAACTCCACAAATTCCGCAATAGATATCCCTTTTCAAGAGACGCAAAGCGAATTTACAAGAAAACATACTACTCGCATGCCTCCCCATCAGTAGTATCACCGTTACAGTGGTAGGCCGAACTACTAACCAGGGGTTCATCGTTCGAACCGATTCATGGGTTTTCGACTGCATCCTTCTAACCCGACAGGACCTCAATTCTTATGCTTTCACGTAATAGTCCTGTGCTGAATGGATCCCACGATTCAATTTTATTTTGTTTTCTTTCCAAAGAGAGCGTAAGGTCCGTGGTTCGAATCAGATCTATGCATCTCGACTTTCTCTGTCTAGGCTTGGAAACCTAACCTTATCCCAGCCCTTGTGCTTCTGTCAGGTGGCATGGCAGCTAGGCACTGAAAGGGTGCTACAGCTGAACATTCTCTATAAAAGTAGGATATGCAGACAAAACTTCGCACAATAGTCAGACGGCTGGTTTTCACTAACCGTCCATTAGACCCTACCTATTCGACCGCGCACGGTTTGCTTAGATCATGATCAGGCGGCAAAATGTGGAAACTACAATCTAGTGGTGCTGATCGTGTGGTTCGGTGAAGGACGGACATTAGCGTTTAAATAGGGTCTGCTCTGATAACTACCGGTGTTAGTTCGTCCGACTCACTGCCTTCCGACTGACCGAGTGACTGCCAAGTTGTTTTGGAAATGATCAAGGATCTAATACAAACATAATTATTTCGGTTGTTTTCTTCTGGAGACCGTGCGCAGGAAATTCGATGTTCTGATCGAAGGTGGTCCCTTCTTAGGAGTGACCTATTCCCATGGTGTAAAAAAGATGTCCCGGAAAGCGGCCCTGCATCACTAAAGATGTGAGGCTGTGCACCAACAAGTACTTCTCCAGGATTTCTCGCACACGAGGTTACGAAGACGGTTGCTTCGCAGGCTTCACAAAGCACAGTGACATGTGCCGCTCCGGCACCCTAAGAAGACAAACCCTCAGGTCACGTTCATTTTGGCCCCCTTAATATTCTGTAATACCCATCTGGGAGATCATTCAACAGAGGAACGTTTAGCTGATCCCTGAGATCACGTTTTCCAGACGAAACCACGATCAAGTGGGTCAGATATGATGGGGGTACGAAACGCCATGAACCCAGTTCGTTTACCTCACTTCCAAATTAGGACATTCAAATTGCCAAGGCGTGGTTGTTCATTCAAATTCTGACCAACTTTGATTCACCTGCACGTGACTCCTGTTCCCCCATACGAGATTGCGAAATACGATTGCAGTCACCTAATCGGTCTGACTGACCACCATCCATATACTGCATTCATATGATAATTTTAGTCCACGGAAGATTTGTCCCCTGTTGGGGCTAATACTCAGTGATGAATTACGCTGTCAGTTTGATCACGAAATGGTTGAAACAAACTAGTTTGACAAATTGATATCTATTGTCATAACATAACACGAGAATCAGTTTACCGACCCAGATAGATTGCTAGCGGAATGAGCTCGCTTTAGAACAAGAATATTCAACCGAACTACGGTTTCAAAGCGAAATTTCGCAGGTGAAGCGATATGAAGGTTGTGACAAACTGCATTCAGTCAGTTGACGGATGCTTTTAAGTTGAAGTTGGTACCTTGAGACCGCCCTTACTTGTTTGAAGTCCATGAAGTCGTAAGACCCCCATCTGTAATACATGTAGTACGGAATCAAACTAGCAGGACATCCAATGATGAGAATATATGGTCGCGACAGTCCACCTAAAAACTGAAATCATCGTGTTTTACGGTTTAAAGTACCGCCACAGCTGGGATTGATATTTGCCTTCCATATTAGCTGGAAGCGATTCCTACCTAGACACTTACTGAGCGCCTGCCAATTTTCGACAGAATGTCGAGATAAAGTATTCCGATACGAGAATGACTGAATTCGCACCGACTGACGAGAATGTGGTCACAACGACGGGGCGTTTGCATGGTGAGAACGGGTTTCTCAGTACGGTGGATGAATCGGACGAGGTACGAAAGTAAATCAGTACAGAGTCATCACCAACAGGTGCATGAAAACTCCATTGAGTAATGGGGGCCCTCACATACCTTGAAGTGTATACCTGTTTTTGACTGGACTGGCCCCCATAGAGTTTCACTGTTCATTCAAGTCCGGGTATCGAAACAAATTGGGTGGACTGTTCAGGGACAAAGTGCGCTAATTAATGAGCGGAAAACAAAACGAAAAGACGGCTACGCCATAGGCTCAGCACACTTTTGTAGCATACTAGCACATACTGGAAAGGGCAAAACCAGCTGTTCATTGTGCGAGTTTGGTCTGAGTAAATTTGAGGGTTCGCACTGGCGAAGTCTCATGCTCTGCCAGAACCTGTTGAGCGAGTCGTGTTTCGTGTTCTTGATTATCAAACCATGCAACACTACCGTATTTTAGTCGTCCTCCCTACCTTACTGCACTCCCTCTGGATAGGCTGACTGTCTAAGAGGGAAGCCCCGGTCGGGCTGCGTACTCAGTTAGTGAACAGCCCTCACTGGTCTCACCCGAAAGGCGACAATTATTGAGCCTTTCAATCTGTACGGGCTATCATCAGCGAATAAGTGTTGGGCCCGCGTGCCCAAGATTACAGATCCATAAGGTTTATAGCATAGTGCCTGTGCAAATCACAGTGGAGAGAATTGTCAATTAAGTCGAGAAAATGTTGCATTTATGGTATCATTCTAACATACATAAGAGTATTAAATGAGCCAGATAATCAGTTGCAGAGAACACGTCCTTTCGGCCTCGCTGCGTCTTCTGATGTATTTTGTGGGAATAACCAATCGTTCAGCAGTGGTCTTCGTGAAAGTGAAAACTCGGGTTCACACACACTAGGGTTTGTGGCGGTGACCCTGTGTCGCAGCACGGCGCCAGTTTTCACGAATGGGAAGACGGGTCGATGTTTTGAAAGTCTCACAAAGTTGCTTCGCTAGCCCTGATGTTCCAGTGGATTGCAATAAAAATGAGATATATGTGCTATTACTCAGTATGGATAACGCACGTTGGAAGTGTTCAAATGGTTTGAGTGTTTTTTGTCAGATATCGACGACGTACGTAGGAGAATAGGACGTAGAACGACATTGAACAATGGCGGTAAGCCAGGAAGTCACGTGTCCACAAACCATCGACCATTTCGAAAGAATGGAAACTAAGGTCACAACCACCGACCATTTCGAAAGAATGGAAACTAAGGTCAAACCAAATGCGCCACTCGGAAGAAAAGGAGTCGTGCCATAGCGATTGGACGCAAATAAAATGGGATTTGCGCGAAATGGCCTCCATGGCGGCTGATGTCGATATGTTGGTGACTAAAATCAATCACAAAGGTTACTCACGGCAACGTCGGATTATGACATCTTATTCTGCTAAGCTGTGTTTTGACTGTCCATACAACGTGTTGGTGATTTGAAAACATTTCTATGGGTCGATTGTGCAGCCCGATGAAACCAGACAAAAAAAATCACGTCCTAGACGCAGTCAGCGATGTTGGGGTCCTCATGCAGAACACATGATGCATACAAACACACCTGACCAAATAGGCTGCTACTGAATAAGCCCCTTAGTAACCGCGTTCACGGTCAGTGTGTTTTTCGATGCCGTTTTCTCAACGAAGTCGTTCCCCGTGAGGCGCCTTGGTACGGGGTGACTGCTACAACGAGTTCGTAATCAATTTAACCATCCATTTTTAGCCTGACCCATACTGGTAGTTGAGCTGATGACTTTAAACGACCGAGACTGAGATCGATGCCCGGTGGGAAACTGAACTGCATCGAAGTGGTCACTAATTGTGATAGAAGAAATACCTTATTCCATGACATAATATGTCCATTCGCAGCTATTTGGAAAAAAACGTTCAGCTGTAATGCCCTTCCAGCGAGTAGCTGTCATGCCACCCAAAAGAAGCACGAGGGCTGGGGCACTAGCAGGTTGTCCAAGCCTAGACAGGGTAGCCGAGGGGCAGAGGTCGGAACCTCGAACCTTGCGGTGAGATTCGCGCTCTTAACCACTTGAGCCATCTCGCACCCCAACATGGTCAGATTTCAACTAGTTGACCATGTTGAGGTAACTGTCAGGGAAGGCCGCGAAGAACATGATCCTACCACGATCGGGTATGAGTCCTCCGGAGTCAAGCTTCTACGTCTTCACTCGAATCTGATCGGATAGATGAACTGATCACACTGCATAGGTTGTGCTGGCTTGGCCATGTGCTCTGTATGCCAGTCGACCGACTTCCTCGAAGGGCTCTTTCCGCACAACCACGTGAAGGGTGGAAGAGAGCCAGAGGCGGTCAAACAATGACTTGGAAGCAAAGTATGAAAGCCATTACCGGTAAACTCAGCTGCGCTGGTCACTGCCATCTTCCTGGATGGGGACCCCGAGACGGGCCACATCAATGGCTAGAGACATTGTCAGACATGGCCAAGTCGCGCCCTCAATGGCGCTCGTGCATCCAAGCTATTGCCTTCAATGCATAGCTCCTTTTCTAGCCCCCCTTCACTTGACAGCCCACTGATAGTGCTGGATTTATGCACCAATTTATTAGCTCCCGCCTGCAATGCGCAGCTACCCACCCCTCCCCCCAAATCATCGGTGAACGAAACTGCGGCAGCTACAACCACTGTACGACGAGTACGCAGTTATTACAGCTGACAATGATGATGATGATCGGATAAAACCATAAAATGACCGAACTACGTGCATAACATAATTTTGTTGAAGCTGAATGATCTGGCATAGAATACGGAAGAACGGAGTCAAATGAGAGAAAACGACTAGGTGTACCGAGATTCGGGGAAAACCGGAGAGAGCTCGCGGGCGATTGTGCATTATTTCGGAGGATCAACGCGGAGAAGCCGCTTTCCTGGGACGAGATAGGCTGTGTAACTTGCTGTAGGTCCGTCAGAGTCAAAATGACAGTGGCCCGACTTTGTGCGGTCTCTGTTGAAGCAATGAAAATGTTCCAATCGAATTTTCCATTTTTGCTGCGAATAGACGGGAAGATGAATGATCCAGGGCAGAGGTACGCGCCAATAAATATAAAATAACAGAGGACGGTGAGTCATATAAAGCTGTATGCATCTTATGGACGTAATGCACTACTTGCAAGGTTGTCTTCGATAGTCTATAATCGGTTTCGCCCTTCTTAGGCGCAATCCCTGAGTTTCCGTCAATCTTGTGTTCCCAAATTGGACAAATACACTCACCTGCATACCAATTTGGTTTTGGTGGGAAACTCACCTGGAACAACCTTATGTCTGATGTTTTGCAATGCGTTGGGATTTCTCGAATATCGCACCAAATAAAAGATGAGGCAGCCTAGTGCAGCACATCGAGTTGAAGAACAACGTCAGCCGGGTTCCAGGTGAGTATCCCGTCAAAACCAAACTGGTATGCAGATGTGTGTAAAAATCGAAATTGTGGGCGTTTGTTTTCAATGCCGTCACAGATAGCGCGAGACAGCGTTGGTCCATGGTCGAGGTGGAAAGAAGACCAATAAGCGAAATCTCCTCTTACTATCAGGCAAAATCAATGCTAGGTGTCGGTCAAGGGATTCTGTTTGGTAGGGTGGGGCAGGCAGAGTCAGACCTGGGGTATGGTTCTGCCGGTTCGCTCCATGTGAAATTCTCTTTTGAGTATCCTTTACATTGTCCTCTTGCACAGCTGAGCTAGTGCCGCGATAGTTGCGTAAGAATCGGACTGGGCGTTCTACCCCTTAATAACAATTCAATGTATACTGACAACCACACATAGTCACGTATCAACTCGGCTTGCCAAAGACCGCTCCTCCTACGCTTGCCAGCTCTACGCCCCCGATTCTGTTCACAGTGGGATGCTTGGCGATTCCCTCGCCTCAATCAACAATCACCGTGGTGTCTGAAAACTCCTACACTTTCCATATATATTCTATATCATGGGGGCAAGATTGCCCAAATGGTTAGAGCGCGAATTTACTGACCGGAAGGTCCGTGGTTCAAATCCAACCTCTGCCTCTCGACTTCCCATGTCTAGGCTTGGGCAACCTGGCAGTATCCCAGCTCTCGTGCAAGCTTCGGGTGGCATGGCAGTTATGCACCGAAAGGGTGCTACAGCTGGACGAGTGTTTTTATATCACGTGTCCACGCATTTTCCACTACCCCCTATTAGTCTTCCATATTCCTCGTGGAATTTATTTACTTGATCACGTTTGATCATCGAAATATTCCGCGAGAGATGATGTCCAATCGAATACTCTATGGAAACATTAGCTAAAACCGAGGGTGAGAGTGTTGGAGAACCCAGTGCAAGACTTTGTTCTTGTGAGCAAACAGCTGCAGCAAGGTCATCATCGTTATCAACAGCATGATACCAGTGTTCAACACTGATACTGCACTGTCCTACAACCATCATTTATTTTGGAAGCCTTATTGCGAAGAAAAGGATAAGGGTGGGTGGGGAATGGACTTAGTACTAGCTTACCAAAAACCAAGCATCAAGATTCAAACACTTATGCCTTGAACTGTCTCATCCAACGAGAGCTGTGCCGTGCCTGCCAGTAACGAATTCTTGATTACCTCGAATGCATCCGCTCTGGGGATATTTGTTTTCACTGAAGTGACGTTAAAACCCATGAGAACTTCATCTGTCTCCAAAGGAAGTCCTAGTGTAGGTGCTCCAGTTCCTCGTGAGTGGTTATAGTTGACCAGCTAGCAATCTGTTCAGTTCATGTGGTGGCGAGCCTATACCGTCTAGTATTGGTCTTATCGGGACATCTACCTCGTGGATTTTTGGCAATTCGTAGAGTTGTGGTTGAGTCTTTCTTTTTGGTTGAAACGATACCACTTACCTTGCCCTAAATGGCTTACTATGGATATTAAATATCCACCAACTTCAACCTTACTCTTTCTTATTCATTATTGAAGTGATACTGCTACTGGTGTAAAGGTGGATACTACTGATGTGGCATGCGAGTGGTATGCGGTTTTCTCGCAACTCCGCCTCGCGTCCATTGGAAAGTGGGATTTATTACGAAACCTGTGGAACTGCTTTGCAGAGTTCGTTCGCAATTGTGTGTGATATTCGATGAATGTCCACGGAACTTCAAGAAGACGCGTGAGGACGTTCAGTTTCGAAAATTAGGTGCATATCAAACGTTTACTTTCCTGTCCCGTAGTTTACAGTCGTTTAGTTGCCAATAAACGACTTCGCGGCGAAAGGCTTTCCTTCTTACTATGGATCTTGAATACCTACTTCTACTGGTAATTTATCGGTAGGGCCCATGGAAGGGGTGTTTCTTGACATCTTGTAGATAGTCGCTATTATTCACCGTGGCTGTCCGCCTTCGCGATGACAATGCTACTCACTTGTTTTAGTGTGTTCAACGTTCTCCGCTACGACGGTGCAATATTCGGAGCTCCTGGTTGTTGGAAATTTGACTGTGAGCAGCTCTGGGTGAATGGGATAGTTGCGGGCATAAGGGTGTGTTTGAACCTTGACCAGTTTGTTTTCGATACAGCTGTTTGCTCACAAGAACGAGGTCTTCCAACGGGACCTCCATCAACCTCTGTTTTAGCTAATATTTACATGGAGGATTCGAATTAATGGCCTTCATCGGAAGGTTTGTTGCAACACTTTTGTTGTGATCAAACGTGATGAGGTCAATCACTTCCACAAGTACCTCAATAATTTCAATCCCCATGGGGTAAAGTCCACTTTGGGAACACTACTCTTTCCAGACTTTAGTGTGTTCAACGTTCTCCGCTACGACGGTGCAATATTCGGAGCTCCTGGTTGTTGGAAATTTGACTGTGAACAGCTCTGGGTGAATGGAATAGTTGCGGGCATAAGGGTGTGTTTGAACCTTGACCAGTTTGTTTTCGATACAGCTGTTTGCTCACAAGAGCGAGGTCTTCCAACGGGACCTCCATCAACCTCTGTTTTAGCTAATATTTACATGGAGGATTCGAATTAATGGCCTTGATCGGAAGGTTTGTTGCAACACTTTTGTTGTGATCAAACGTGATGGGGTCAATCACTTCCACAAGTACCTCAATAATTTCAATCCCCATGGGGTAAAGTCCACTTTGGGAACACTACTCTTTCCAGACTATGACACATATGAGTGGCGGGCAATTAGAATCAACAAGGAATGTGGACCACTAATAAGCACTAGCGGGAAATGCGCAGACGAAGGATATAAAATGGATGTGGAAATGTAGGAGTTTTAAGGCAAGGACTGCGATTCACGCCACAGGGACTGATGACCGAGGCGGTGGAAATCAGTAAGCGTCCCAGTATGGATACAATCGAGCTGACGAGCGTATGCAGAGCATTCTTAGATAAGCCGGACTGACAGTGCGTGGTTATTAATGCACAAAGAACCGTTAGCAAATGAGGTGGAATCCCCGGTTCGAGCCTCCCTCTCTTTTACAACTAACTCATCCATATCGAGTGACAAACATTGTAAAGGATATTCTCGTAGCACTAACTCATCCACATCGAGTGACAAACATTGTAAAGGATATTCGAAAGGCATTGCACCGAACCGGAAGAACCACACTTCAGGCGTGATCAGAATTCATGCATGTCTCCGACTAGCCGACCGACCTTAGCCAAATGTGCATTCAAATACAGCAAGCGAAACCACCAGGCAGAGACTAAACTACAGGTTCATGACTTACAGGATCATGAGAGAGCGCCGTACCAACCGCGACCACCGGCGCTTCCATTTCAAAGAATTTTAGCCACTGTTTCAACTTCTCTGGGGTATCCAAAGGCTCCTCACAGAATTCGGGCTAAAAGAGTAAACAGATTTCGATGCGATTGTGGAACTGCGTGTGGAACTGTCAAACAAGTCTACTCCTGAGGCATTTGGAAAAAAAACTTACGAGAACGTGGAAGAGGCACTTCCCTGTCTCCTGGACCACCACTCCACCTACACCAACAGGACGGTCTAGGGCGCCGTATTTCGAAGCCAGAGCCTCACGTAACAGTGCATCAAACTTGCCCTCGCGAGTACGACCCGAAACTGTAAGTTGGATAACCTTGGCAAAGCAAAATAACTCGATAGCATAAGCATATACCGAGCTGGAGAAATAGACACGGGCAAAGTTCAAGGAACCAAAGGCGAGAAGAACGGAAACGAACCAAGTTCTAACGGTGAAAGGAAGAAGGCCTTCGCTGTGGAGTTATTTATTGGAAAACACCGACTGAACGGTTACAGACTATTGAAAAGGAAAGCAAAACTCTCATGCATCTTGTTTATAAAAATTGTGTATCCGTCTTCTTTTCGAACAGGTCTCCTTGAGTTTTTCTGGATACTCATTGACTATCACTCAAACGTGAACGAATGCTACAAAGCGACTCCATAAAATCCGTAATAAATCTCACTTTTCAATAGACGCGAAGCGGACTTATGAGAAAACCATGTGCTACTCACATGCTTCATCAGTAGTATCCACCGTAACAACGGTATTGTTGTGCCGCGTACCCGAGTGACACGTATTTATTTGAAGATTGTGGTAGACAATAACACGCCACAGAGAATTCCTACAAAGGTAGTCACACGGTGGAAGTTGTTGTCCGCCACAGTTCAGTGAAAAATCTCTCCAAAGAGAGGTCCTAAAGTCCCATCTTATCGTAATATCTTTTCCTCGGGAAATTTTGGCATTCAAGCAGTTTATGGGGATTCGTGTTCAACTTTCTCTCTAGCTGAGGGAGCTCAATTTTGATAAGTGACTAAACAATGGACAAACCTTCAACGGAAGGTGGTACACACCGAACAATACCATAAGCAAGAGATTCAGTTGAGTCTCCTGTAAAACCAAATCCGTTTGCAAAGGAGTGAATCTCGCGAGTTCTCCAATGCCCTTATCATTCAGCAGCACACGTGACAAAATTATCTGGCTATTAGCCAACCGTTATTCGATTTAGGGGAAAAGAAGGACCCGATCATAATCAAACCATGGGCTTGATGGCTTACCGGATAGTTGGAACAAAGATTTGGTCGAATACCGAGAAGATTAGACATGCAAATTTTCGTAAATGTTGGGACCCATTACTTGAGCGTTCAAGAATGGGAGATGCAGTCTTTTCTCTCTCTATCTTCCAGTTTGAAACTGCTTATCAAAGAAAACAGGACAATTATCGGGTCAGCCGGCAGCACTCGAGGAACGCCTAACACTGAAGCCAAAACTCCTGGAAGCCGATCGGACTCCCAATGTAATGAACCCTTGGAGCAAAGTTCAAACCTGATTACATACAAAAATGGATTCTCGTCAATCGATCCAAAAACTTACTTTGCCTGGTTTCCCCTCGCAGAGGAACATTTGACCAACCATGGCAAACAAACTGGTTTCGGATAGAGTAGACACAGGGAGGTTGTTCTGAAAACAAGAGAAACAGGCCGGATTCAGTTTAAAAACCCAAACCAAGACCACCTATAAACTCGATACATCGACATCCTGCTCAAGATACTGTAAAATACAGCAAGTGATCGAGCGCCGTCGATAATAAACTAATGCTGGCATTGATTCCATAGATAATAAGTTAATGGGGCCTGCGACGTAACACAGTCGGAAAAGTTGTCAGGTGAGCTCCGTTTGAGAAGTCAGCTGACCTCGTTGCAAGATATTTAAACTATGATAAGGTCCAGCCCCTTCTTGACAGTCAGAAATACTAGGCCATTTAGAAGCCACCCGCAGGTGCTTTCTCGAGGGTGAGCACTGGATCATATACCGAAATTTCAAGTAGTTCATGAGTTGTTTGTAGTTATTACCGGACTCTAGTAGAAGACTATAACAATAAGTTATAGTTCAAGACAAGGTGGAGGCATGTATGCCGAGTCTGCACAGACTCATCGACCTAAGTATGGACTGATTGTGACAGTTACTGTCTCCGTTTGAGGCGAAACGTGGATGTTGAGCATAATTAGGCCAAAAAACGTTAGAGGTCAGCGCAAGCTTAGTTCACGTGATTTTTTTCTGTGCTTAGTTAGGAACCGAACAGGAAATGATATACAACCGACCCCACTGGTGAGCTCAATGTTACTTCTTAGCTGGACTACCTAGCTAACGCTTGCCAGTCGCTGTGTGCTGAAAAAAAATCGTGCAGCTGTAGCACCCTTTCGTTGCCTAGCTGCCATGTCACCCGAAGGAAGCATGGGGGCTGAGATACTGCCAGGTTTCCCGTGCAGAGACAGAGGAAGTCGAGATACAGATGTCGGGTTCGAACCACGGACCTTCCGGTCAGTAAATTCGTGCTCCAATCACTGAACCATTTCGCTGAGTTTGTGTCAGACAGACTTCGCAAAGCACGTTCGGTCAATCCCACTGATGGCCCTAACACAGTGTTCAGATGTGGCTATTTCGATGGTCTTGTAGGTACTTCGCTCTTGGGTATCTTCTGCAAAGACATAGGGACTTTCCCATAAGTTCTTACCTCTCCTCGTTCTTTCCACCTTCTACTAGAGCTTTCTTCCCCCTCCCCCATGGTTGTATAGAAGTCAAGTACCAGTTTCCACTGATGGGATATTGGTGTCAATGATGATGAACAGTTCGATAAGCCATTTAGCAGACGTGAAATTATGAACTGCTAACTTAATAGCAATCATACATCTGTGTAATCTAGGTGCATCCCCGCTGGTGAAGTTGAAGCAAAGCCCAAAGGTAAACAATACCGTAATAGACCGTACGTGCTAGTACTGCCTTGTGAACATAGGCCTACAGCTAATTAGTTTCAGCCGATGATCGGTCATAAAAGAAGCCCTGCAGTAATCACTCGAAAACATCGGTCTATGACACAGTCAACCATCTTGACTGAGGACTCAGCCCCCCAGAGGTCCATGAGACGGGACAACTTATGAGTGATACAGGGGGACTGATGCCTTATAAAGAAGCTCTGATCCCCTCTGAAGCATGCTCTTTGTACCTTGGCCGTAGAGACAGGATACCCTTAATGTTCATATGACAAGCCTACAAGAGTGAAGACAACTTCTTTAGATATGTCGCTTGCTGGAATGGTTCATTACATACCATTGAAAATTACCACCTGTACGTCAGAAAACTGCTAAGGTAGCGCACGCGATCGTTTGGATTTCTTTAAGCCAACGCGGGAAATTTACCAGCATCAAATGGATAGTACAAATAAGTTAGCCGCCGACAGAAGTGCTTGGCTGATTCCAGCAATGGCGAGTGACGATTCTGCCTGTAAGCAAAAGCATCACCAGGTTAAAATCCCCGGGGCTCCACACTAAGCCAAACTCGCTGATTTCTGGATAGGCGGATGGACGATGCGAGTTATATTTGTCCATGGTTACTCAGTGGTTGGCAAAGAATGTTAAACCATTCAAGCTGAACTCACCTTGGCATCATATGAACCACAATACGAACCGTTCTGAAGTACTTTTCCATCGGTAGCAGAGAGGTTGGCCACTAACTATAAGAAATAGCAAGAGAAAAAGTGGTCAACAGACACGGTAAAGATTAAAATAGGAAATGGGGCCGAATAACACATCCGTGCGTGGGTCTGACACAAAGGCAACTAATTCAGTTCTAGAATCATCTCTGAATGTTGACCTTCTGGCCAATGAATGTATACCACATGGCAATATCCAAAAAGCCACCTAATAGACCTTATAACAAGTACATTTCGTACTCGTTTCGTTAAAATTGGTAGGCTTTAAGATTTTTTCGGTACCCAGGTGCCATGCTACCCGAAGAAAGCACGAGGGCTGGGATACTTCCAGGTTGCCCGAGCCTAGACAGAGGAAGTCGAAAGGCAGAGGTCGGACCTTTGTGCTCTAAACAATGGACCATCTCGTCCCCACGTACTCGTTAGGCGTCGTATTGTCTGATAATCTTGACATTCTGGGGTATGGTGAGATAATACTAAAAATACAACGAGTACTGGCTTAGTTTTAGTGCATAACCGCCGTGCAACTCGAGGGGCACGAGGGTTGACACATTACCATGGAGCCAGAGTTAGAATCGAATCATGGACCTTCCACTCAGTAGTTTCATGCCTTAACCATCGAGTTATCTTAAGCTTGTACCTCAAGGTACATGAAACAAAAAATGTTTGATATATATTGAAGCCGTACGCCTAGATGCGGGCTCGGATTGGACAATGACGAAGAGGGCATTTGCATCAGAATGTCATACGTGTCTTCTTGTTCTTTCCATACTTCTTGACTTTTGTTCATTCCAGTATAAACGAAAGGATGTTTAGGGGGCATACCGGATAAAAACAAAATAATATGGTGTCCAAATGGCTCGAATTAACCATAAGACCCACCTCAGAATTAATACCGGCGACAAAGTGCGGACCCGCCGCCGCACCCATAATAAATCCAGATCCTACGTGGCTCAAGGAAAAGGCATCAAGCAAATCGTATCGCTGTGGAGAGGATGAGAGGGGAAAAATAATACCTTCTCCTTGTTTGGAACCGGTAAGAGGTAATCAAAACTGCCAATGTCGCATAGAGTCTCTGATCCGCAAAGACCTGTCAGCAAAAATAGATTCTTTTGAGGTGTTCTAACCTGCAGAATTCAACGCATATGCTGGATCTTTGAGATTTGGGCAGTCAACAACTTGGCAAGCTACTTTTGAGAAACAACCGGACATAAAGCCCTGCAAAACTGGACAACAGATGGAATTATTTCGTCCATAGCGGGGCTACCCTTGCACAGCTCCTCTAATGGTACGAAGTGAAGTTCGTGGATCATGTCGGAAAGTGCTTGAAATACTAAAATAAAACGGTACAAAGACATAATAACAAAAGGTCAAAAGGGGGTGAGAGAAACAATAACAAAGAGAACAAAGGAGCAGCAAAATGCCATAAACTGGGCTTTTGCTTCAGGTATCATTGCCCATTAAAGGGCGGATTGGTATCCCCAACATGCAGAAACTTGACATACATTTGTACACGAAATATAATAATAATCGTTCAGCCGTAGCAGGCTTTCGGTGCCTAGCTACCGAACGAAGTTCGAGAGCTGAGGTACCGTCAGGTTGCCTAAGCCTGGACAGGAGCAGTCGGATGCGGAGGTTAGGCTCGAACAGTGGAGCTTCCGATCGGGAAGTTCGTGCTTAACCACTGAAGGTTCTCGAGCTTCGTGCATATCTACCACACAGCTGAAAGAAAAGAAAGCGTTCAACTGTAGCACCCTTCCGGTGCCTAGCTGCCATGCCACCCGAAGGAAGCACGAGGGCTAGGATACTGTCAGGTTGCCCAAGCCTAGACAGGCGAAGTCGAGTGGCGGAGGTCGGATTCGAACCACGAACCTTCCGGTCAGTAAATTCGCGCTCTAACCACTTGGGTCATCTCGCCCCCACCACACAGCTGACGTCGAATGGGTGAGCGTAATGATTCGTAGATCATAGGATCGAGAAAACAGGCAGCAGATCATACACTGGCCAACTGTTTTCTTCTACTAATCAGTTTTGCTAACAGTGACATCCAGTAAACTCCAACGAAGCCACGATAGCAGACAGCACAAGTTCGGATAAATTTTGAAATTCACAAAAATATCCTCGAAATTAGAGACGAGTATGGAGGAGAATCGACACACTTCTGTCATCTTGAGCTGTACCACCATTAAGATCAACCCAATTAGACCATTCTTCGGGGGTGGGGGGAGAGGAAGGAATTTTTCGCAAGTGGTCTCTACTTTGATGATTCTTCTCAGGTGCACGCCCCAGTAATTGGCACCTTCATTTTGGAATCACTAACTACTTGCAAACAGGTCATTGTTGCATTGGGAGATGTTTACCTAGCTCTTAAAGAAGTTCGCTCCATTCATCATAATGTTCCGGACTCGTTTTTGTCACAATGTAAATTTAGGCTATATTTGAACTTGTCGTCACTGGTTTCCTGTCGAGTTCGAGAATAACTTCCTCTTGTGTAACGCCAGAGTCATGCTTTTAGGTTTACCAGAAGCCCGAAGCTACGCTAGCAGAATACGGGACACACATACTTGAGAGCAGACTTTCGGGTGTGTGAAGGTGTACGGGGAGCTCTTCGGAAGCTTCCACCAGAGGTTCCTACTCTCCGTTCCTATTTAATTTTGCAATCGACGAGATAATGAAACGAACATGGGAGGTCTTCAAAACCCGGGTGTTCAAATAGCTGCTGACGAAAACCTGTCAATCCAGAATAGGCAAACGATATCGTTCTCATTTTCAAAGAGGAGAAAAAGGCGCAGGTGTTTTCGGATGAACGCACCAAGTCACCCCATCCTTAAGTATGCGCTTCGCACCCAGAAAGTGCAAGATATTGCTCTTGGATGTGCAGTCACTGAACACGACACCTACAAGCCAGGGGCAGTAACTAGAAGCAGCGGATTGCTTCACGTATCTTGGAAGGTGTATTAGTTCCGAGTGTAGTGTGGCAGATGAGGTCAAGGCCCGCGTTTGAGACACCTATGGACCAAAGAGATATATATCCAAGTCTCAAGGGACGTGCATATAAGGCTACAGTAGGGCTGTTTTGTAATACGGCTGTGAGATTTGGCCTCTTCAAGCAGAGACAAACGCTGTCTCAAAACCACAGTTCGCGTAGGCTGTTATTGCCGAAAATGCAACAGGACAATCAGAAAGAGTGCTCGGTTGCGCAGCGGGGACTTCAATCGACGAATGCGTACAGCGTACCGAATCACCGTTTGCCGTAGAGTGTTGTTTTCCGCACCCAATTTAGTATGTCGCAAGCACAAAGGTGGCCATCGTTTGACCTGGCACAGAAGTACGATAGAGATTACGATAGATTACTGTGGGTGCGCCTCACCCTCAAGGATGAGGTCCCATTGATCCTCACTATGTATGATTAGAGAGGCTGTATCATCCTTTCGGTGCCTAACTGCCATGCGACCAGAACAAAACACGGGGGCTGGCATACTGCCAGGTTGCCCAAGTCTAGACAGGGAAGGTCGAGAGGCAGATGTTGGATTCGAACCACGGACCTTTCGGCTAGTAAATTCGCGCTCTTACCACTGAGCCATTTCGGTCCGATTGTGGTATGCCAGTGCTGAGTCTCTTACCGATCCATTTTTATCCTCCTTCTCAAAATAAGGCTTTTAAATAAATTGTGGTTGTACGAGAGCGGAGCATCAGTGTTGAATAACGATGTTATGCTGCTGACGACGATGATGATGAGCCACACGGAATGAATACAAAACCAATCAGCGGGCAACAGGGTGATCTTCGCTGGTGGCTAACCCGAATCACCGAGCCATACGGAATGAATACAGCAACGAATCAGCGGGCAACAAGCTGATCTTCGCTGGTGGCTAACCCGAATCACGAAGTGCAACAAGCTGACCGAACATCAACTGATTCGCCTTCGGCGATAGTGTATGGGTATCACCCGAACAGAGGTCCGGTCAGAAATGGTCGTGTTTCTTGACTTTCTGAGTCCACTGACCACTTAGTGCCAGTACTGAGTCTGTCAGAAAACTGAACATTGGTCCAAAGATCGGATTTCCGAAAACTTGGTGCTTTACCCCCGTGAACGACTAAAGGCCTAAGACTAAGCGGAACAGAAGAGAACCACAGGACTTTGTAGCAAAAAAACCAACCGTCTGCTAAGGATGTACATATGGACAAATGAACATATGTTCCGACAGCTGATCAATCTGTCAATACAGTCCCAACTTTTGCGGTTCCCGAAGGCCATGGGGAGTGGAGAATGGGGTGTAAGCTACCTACGGCGAATAGGGCACACAACTCTTCGCAGCAACATCGCCACGACAAGTCGCTGATAGGTTAAATGAGTGAAACAAAAGTTGGGACAGAACGAAAATGAGTTAGTGATAACAAGTAGGTGTATATCGTCGAGCAGAAACTGGACCACACTGTGTTGCAAGGGTCGCTCAGATACTGAATATGCGGACGACATTGCACTCCTCGGTTCCGGTACTTCAGGCCACTTCAAAAACAACCTAAATAATTCGTCCAAACGGATTTCTATATGTTTCATATCTGTGAATTACTACAATAAGACTGAGTTGACACAGCACAAACCTTAAGCTGGCATATCAACCGACGAGGTAGACATACTTTGTTCACTCGTGCAGTTGTATACGTTATGGTAGAGCTAGGTACCAGATTCCTTATTGAATCTGGAAGCCCAGGACGGTTTTTGCCAACATCTGACACCTATGACACTGGTGTAGTTTTACTTTGTCTACCAAAGGCAGAATATACACTTCGGTGGTGCGATTCATACTGCTTTACGAACCAAAACCCTGGCCTCTATGCGCACGGGATGTGCGGAAGCCACCAGGGTTTTACAATCGGAGTCTCTGAATCGTTCATCTGCAGCGACATTTCGGTGCCTATCTGCCATGTCACCAGAAGGAAGTACGAGGCCTGGGATACTCCCACGCTGCCCACATCTAGACAGGGGGAGTCGAGAGGCAAAGTTCGAAGCGTCGATGAAGCTTTACCGGATCTGATTGGAACGCTAGATCCGCAATGCCGGAGTGTGCAGATGTTACTGATGAGAAGGAACTTTTCTTCTATGGAGGGGCTACCCATGCTTCATAGGTTATTCCGGTGAGGATATGTGCTTCGTATGCCAGACTGTTAGCCTGAAAGAGCTTCTTTTGCCCAGCACTATGCTGAGTGAAATTGACCTAGAGTTGGGCGGTTTATGACCTGGTAATGAATCATGAAGGCACTAACCAGTAAACTCGGCCGGGCCGACAAATGCCGCCTCCTTGGATAGGGACCCCGGGACACAACTCACCATTCACACAAGCAGACAAGGCAGTCACGCAGTCAGTAGGGCTCGTGCACCAGAACTATCGCATTCAATTCGTAATGACCCAAATTCCCGTTCCCACAAGGTAATATACACTGTGGACTAACTTATCATGTCACTGGATCCCATGCTTGGCTGTCACCCATTTTCAGGTGACCGAAACTGTAGCCGCTGGAATCGACGTAACCTCTGTACACGGTTCAAAGCTGATAAACTGAACGGAACATTGTCTCCTACCGGGCTGTTCAACGAAGAGGAGCGTGGCAAATAGCGTCCCTCACGTAACGTGTTGGAACGAGTCTGATAATTTGCTCCATGTTAGGAGAACTGCCTCCAAACGAGCGGTTCCATTTTGCAAGCGACTTATTTCGTATGCTGAACTCCTCCAGCACTTTTTTTGATACCTTGCGAGAATGGTCGCATCTGTTACATCTATATAATGGAATGCTTTAGTTGTTTCCAGTGCGGCTTACCCAAGGTCGTTTGGTTCCCCGAGTCCGATGTAAGGCGTTCCTATCAGACAG